GCTGTTTTACACTTCTCAGCTGTGACCATAGGCGTTTTACCTCCCCTCTCACCCTCTCTTGCCTTGCCTCGCAACACGCCGTCTATATCACCAACGTCTACGCGCCCTCGCAAAGGGATCTAAAAAGAGATTTCCTGGATGAGCTTAAACAAACTGAACCACCACCACAATCCCCCTGTCTCCTCGTCGGTGACTTCAATCTGATTCGCTTCCCCAATGAAAAGAACAATAATAACTTTCGCCGATCTGAAGCAGATGCCTTCAATGATACTATTGATCAACTTGCTCTCATTGAGCTCCCTCTTCTTGATCGCCCATTCACGTGGTCAAACAAGAGGGCATCCCCTACGCTTGTACGGCTAGATAGGGTTCTTATTAACCTCGCCTGGGATGCGCTCTTTCCCAACACTCACCTGTCCTCTCTCTCTCGTTTCGCCTCCGATCACGTTCCGCTACTGGTTACTGTGTCCACATCTATCCCTTCCTCCCGCCTTTTTCGCTTTGAACGTTACTGGACCTCCCTCCAGGCCTGCAAAACCATAGTGCAAACCACTTGGCAGCCCATTGAACATAACAACAATGGGCCTGTACTGGACCCCGCGACTTCTCTCACTCAAAATCTGAAAAAAACACGTTCTGCCCTCAAATCTTGGGCCAAAACTCTTAGGCCCATCTACCAACGGGAGGCAAATTGCAAACTTGCAATTCTGGCCCTCGACCTAAGTGAGGAACTTGCCCCCCTCTCCCTTCTGGAACTAAAGCTTAGGCTCACAATTTCAAACCTGTTACAAGCTGCTATTAAACAGAAGATTTCCTTCTGGAAACAGAGGGGTAAGATCAGGGGGGCCGTCGACGGCGATGAAAACACCAGGTTCTTCCACGCCTCTGCCACACAACGATCTCGCTCAAATAAAATCCCGTTGCTCATCCACAATGATTTTGAAATCTTCCTGCACGAACACAAAGCTGCAATCCTAAAAAATTATTTCCAAAAACTCATCGGTACTACAAAAACTGCAACCTGGAACTTCAACTTACTACAGCTCTATCCGGCAACTCTACCCCAGCTATGTGATCTTGCTGCTCCGTTCTCCCTGGAGGAAATTCATCAAGCCTTTCTCTCCATGAACACAAACACTAGCCCTGGCCTAGACGGATTTGGGCCTATTTTCTTTAGAAAATTTTGGCACGAAATCAAACACTCCATCCTCCCGTTCTTTTCTGCTTTCCATGATCAAACAGCTTCTCTCGATCGCTTTAACCGAGCATTCATGGTCCTCCCTCCAAAAACCCTAGCCCCAACCTCCCCCGATGCATTTAGACCAATCTCTCTGCAAAACTGTACCCCAAAAGCGGTGGCCAAAGTTCTTACAAGCATGGTGAAACCCCTCATCCCACTGCTCATTCACTACGACCAAACAGGTTTTCTCCATGGGCGCAATATTGCCGAAAATTTTATTTATGCTGCTGATATTCTCAGCGCTTGTCACACAAGAAAGGCTCCCACCATGGTCATCAAGCTCGACTTCAGAAAAGCTTTTGACTCCATTTCTTGGTCCTCTCTAATATCGATCTTACAAGCAAGAGGTTTCCCTCCCATCTTCTGTGCATGGGTCCAAAACATTCTCCATACTGGCAAAACAGCTATTCTCCTCAATGGCACTCCGGGGTCCTGGATCCAATGTAGAGCTGGCCTTCGACAAGGTGACCCCTTCTTGCCGTATTTATTCATCATCGTCGCAGATGTCCTTCAAAGACTGATCGCACAGGCTTTCCGGCAAAACGAACTATGTCACCCCCTCCGTTCGAATGAACCACTAGTAACCCTACAATACGCCGATGACACACTAATTATTGCTGCCGCTAGCGTCGCAGCAGCCACTATCCTCAAAAACACCCTGCATGATTTCGCCCTAGCGACTGGCCTAGTCATCAACTTCCAAAAAACCTCGCTTCTCACCATTGCCACAGATGACCTCATCCAAAATAACATCGCTGCAACCCATTGGATGTAAGCTCTCCTCCTTCCCGTTAATCTACCTAGGCCTCCCTCTTTCCCCTACCAAACTACCACTCTCAGCTTTTGACCCTATCTTAGATAGCTTTCGAAAACTCCTTTTTGGTTGGGTCGCGCGTCTGCTCTCACGTGGAGCAAGACTAACCTTGCTCTCTGCTGTCCTCGATTCCTTAACTATTTACTTCATGTCCGTTTTCCGCCTACCGAAGTCTATCCTAGTTAAGCTCGACACCATCCGGAGAGCTTTCTTCTGGTCCAACGAAGAAACTTGCACTGGTGCAAAGTGTCTGGTCGCGTGGAAAAACGTTTGCAGGCCTAAGGAACTTGGTGGTCTAGGCATTAAAAATCTTGAAATTCAGAACCGCTGCCTGCTTATGAAATTTTCTTTCAAAATTTTGCAACACCCAAACATCCCCTGGACCCAGTGGTATCATCACCAATATCCACTTGGGATTGCAACAAAAACTCCTAGGCCCTCTTTCCTTTGGAAGATTATAAACAAAAACCTACCTCTCCTAATTGAGCACTCCTTCGTGATCACCTACAACGGCTTCTCCACCTTCTTTTGGCTAGATAAATGGATTCTTGAATCACCTCTACAAAAAGTTTCCCCCCACCTATACTCCACTCCATAGATGACAAGGTTCTAGTGGCTACACTTTAGCAAACCAGCTTATTATCGAACCTGCGGAACCGTCTTACTAATGCTGCTGCTCGAGAGTTGGACTGTGTGTTGTTGTTGTTGCAGGATTTCCAGCAGGTGGACCGACCAGACGAGCAGTCCCTCACACATGGGCTTCCTTTCTCTGCCAAGAACGCTTACTCTTCCATTGTTGCTGATGACTCCTTCAATCCACACCATGATTTTGTTTGGGCCTCTAAGGTTCCGATCAAAGTCAAAATTTTCGCTTGGCTTCTCCTCCGCGATCGGCTAAATACGAAGGCCAACATGTTTCACAAAAATGTGGCTCAATCCGCAGCTTGCCCTCGATGTCAAGACCCGTATGAGGATGCTCTTCATCTCATTTCCACCTGCTCCTTTGCTACACAAGTTTGGTCCAGCTTGGGCCTGTCTGCTCCGACCTCCCTCACTGCTCTTCCCCAACACCCACCGATTCAGGGCTTCAACCCCAACATCTGGCCATCGGTGGCCTTGACCATAACTTGGAAGCTCTGTGACTCAAGAAATGCTCTCGTGTTCAGGAACGATGATCACTCTCACAGATTAACGCTAAGAAATATTGTAGCAGACTTCTCTCTCTGGGTCTTACGGTTAAAAAAAACTGATGACAGCAACTCGGCTAGACAGTGGCTAAATTTTCTCTCCTCTGCAATCCCTTCTAGCTGAACTTGTAACAATAATTTGCCTGTATTCCCCTGAACTCTTTGAGTGGTAATATATTCAGGTGGGGAAGCTCTCCCCCCCGGTGACTGTTCAAAAAAAAAATTTAGCCCACATGCAATTGCAACACAGGAAAAGTTTAGCATGAAAGAATATCCATGCGTGTGTGGCTTCACTTCTTCCTTTCTTTCTCATTCTAGCCACTCAAAAACACAATACATCACTAGAAAATCCCACATGTCAAAATCATCACTTCAAAATACAAGTTAGCTTTGATTCTTTTTCCCATTATATTAATAATGGACCAGAAGGGCGGGCATGGTGCACGCAGAGTCTCTCTACTTGTGGCACTGGAGATCCTGGGTTCGAACCAGCCCCCTTGCAGAATTATTATGCATGGTAAGGCTTTCTAGAAATTCCCTTCTCCAGACCCCACCTTGTGTGGGAGCTTTCGGCACTTATTACGCCTTTTTTAATATTAATAATGGACCAGGCATAGACTGGCATCTACTCAAACTCTCTATATAAGCCTAATTTTGCTACTCAATGATACAAACAGTTCAGATGCTACATATGACTAGTATATATTGTGTGTCCGAGGATCACTGTCACAATTGTTCAGCCCTTTTCTTCTTGGCATCTGAGCTCACTATGATACGTTCTCTTATGAACCCACCCTGTGCTCTTCTTCGGCTCGACAATGTGTGCTTTCCCAAGATGTCCTCCATCTAGAGACTCTTCCTGCTCCTATGGCACCAACAACTTGCAAGTGAAGATGTCCAGTGAACATGCATCTCCCTCGCCGCTGATGTCCAGCCACCAGCGTCGCCCTAGGTCCTGCCGCCGCCGCACGAGAGAAATGGGAGAAGAGATATGGTTTGGTTTTGGGGTAGTGTGTGATGTAACAGGAAAAGAAAGTTCCACGTGAGGCAACGAGCGGAGCGAGCCATGTGAGGCAAGCGGCGACGAGCGGAGCGAGTGCGGGTGGTTGTCCTGATTCAGCAAAATTTCCATGTCTGCTCAACCAGCATCTGGAGGGTATATTCCATATATGTGGTTGTCTCTATCCATCATCCTCTCAACGAAACAGGTGGTAACAAACTAAAAACTGGCCCTCTATATCCCACCCAGGGATAGCCAGTGAACAAAACACATCTAAATCTGTTAATAGTCGAACTTGGCACAGAAGTCCTAAAAGATTATACCTCGGTCGCTCTGGTTACCCAATACAGGTATGTTCCTATGCAATAATCATTTAGCTGTATTAATTGTCTAGAAGTTGCTCGATGGTGAAATCTAAAGAGTTTTTGAAGGTTTTTGTCCTCATGCCTACATTTTAATGTCCTGAAACCAGGGTAGAAAGTTAAACTCATGATCAATATTTTCTTACCATCTACTCCCTTCGTTCCTAAATATTTGTCTTTTTAGAGATTTCAAATGGACTACCACATACGGATGTATATAGACATATTTTAGAGTGTAGATTCACTCATTTTGCTCCGTACGTAGTCACTTGTTGAAATCTCTAGAAAGACAAATATTTAGGAACGGATGGAGTATCACAGTTAGTTCCTAGGCACTTTGGAAGTTTTGATGCTTACATATTTGTTTTGATACCATCTGCAATTACTGAACTTGCAGTTGAAGAGGCTGGAGTTAAAGTTGAAGCAGTTTGCTGAAGTTGAGACCTTGCTTTTGAAGGAATGCGAGCAAGTGGATAGAGCGAGACAGAGGATTTCAGCTGGCCGTATCCAGGCGATGCGAGCCTGCTCAAATCGCCCGGAAACTAGTTTGCCCACCAGTGGCTGTAGCACTATGTCACCCAATCCAACGAATATAAGCCCTAGACCGTTGGCCATGCCACGCTCCATGGCTGAAGCCACGGTACCAGCGGCATACGCTAATAACATGCAGGGGCAGGGGCATGGGCATGTGCATGTGCATCCACAGATGCCGTCCGTGCAGCGGCGGCCACGGATGCTCTCGTTTGGGCCTCGCTCACCGTTTTCGGCTATCCAGACTCAGCAAGCTGCACAGGCGCCGAACATTATGTTCAGTGCTGGTGCAATGCCCGGTTCGGTAACTCCAAATCACCATCATCAGCTGTTGAGGTAGTCGTCTTCAGGAAACAATTCTACTCAAGAATAGATAGTTAACAAGCTCAATTTTGTTAGCTAGATTTATATACTCCCTCCGTTCCTAAATATAAGTCTTCAGGAAACAATTCTACTCAAGGATAGATAGTTAACAAGCTCAATTTTGTTAGCTAGATTTATATACTCCCTCCATTTCTAAATATAAGTCTTTGTAGAGATTCCACTAGGTGGACTACATACGGAGCAAAATGAATGAATCTACACTTAAAATGCATCTATTTATATCCGTATGTGGTTTATAGTGGAAGCTCTACAAAGACTTGTATTTAGGAACAGAGGGAGTAGTTCTTACAAGCATCTCAATTGCAGTTCAATTGTTCGACACCTTCTGTTGGCCGTGTGAATATTTATGATTAGAGCTCCGTTTGTTTTATGGTCTGCAGAAGCCTGAGTGGGGGAGCGTACCCTGTGTTTTTTTATTTAAACAGCCAAGGGACCAGTTATCGCCCCCAGTAGAGAAAATGCACCCGAATTGGTGAGCAGTGACTTTTATTCGACAACATTCAGACTTTTCAGTATCTTTGAAACTGAATAGTCACAACGAAAACTGGGGGAAGTGTTAATAAAATATTTTAGTAACCACCGTGGATTTTCTCAGACTGGCCAACTTGAGCAACATATGTGCGAACTCTGAAAGGTTGGCTCAGGTCAAAGAAATGCAATGAAATCTGTCTGATGGGATTGCTTGGGATTGCTTTTACAACGCTTGCCGCGAAATGCAATGAAAGAAATCAGTCCAGAAGTTTTATGCCACTTTGGAGTCGACGTCTGTGGTAAGGTTGATGAGTGCGCCATGGATCTTCAAAGAATCTGTTGGGACCCGAGATCTAAGGTATACAAGTCAAGCCGCATAGAATCACACAGAAAGCCATGATCAGTCTCCAGATAATATCAGATATACAAGTCAAGCTGCATAGTACCACTATCGCGTAGGAAGCTGTCCCCGCAGTATCGGCCTGTATCGGAACCGCTCCGGTCTGTATCGGAACCGGTCCCGGACACCATATATTCTCAGAGAGCTCGAAACCAATGGTTTAGAGATAATTTTTGAAAACACTAACGCCTACACGTGTGGGCGTCTGGCAACTCGCCCACACACATGAATTCTCGTCCAACCAATTCTGCATGAATCTTGGCGCGTTCTGGCAGTTTTTGTGTGCCACGTAGGACTAAATTGATGTGTGAGCATTCATCTGGTCGCCCACATGTCTTTTTTCACCACACGGGGGCTGATGTGTGGGTGTTTAACAATTCGTCCACACACCAGTTTTCACGCACGCAGAGGGGGCTGGTGTGTAGGTGTTTATCACTTCGACCACACACCCGTCTCCTCACTCACACCCAAAGCTGGCAGTTGCCATGTGTTTCTGCAGGGTACATGACAACTGCCCTAGTTTTGCTTGTAAGCAGGTGACAACTCTCTTTTACCCGAGTTGCCATGTTTTTTTTTGCATGGTACATGACAACTGCCCTAGCGTGCACGTAAGTAGATGGCAACTCTTTCTCTTTACATGGTAACTGCCCTAGTGTGCTTGTGAACACACGACAACTCTTTCTTTTACCCGAACATGCTTTTTTGCCATGCCTTTTTGTAGTGCTACACGACAACTTGCCTAGTGTTAGTGAGTGGCAACCCCTAAAGTTTTGAAATCATGGCAACTACAGTAGACCAGACCATACATGCCAACTGCAGTTGAGCAACCATGGCAACTGTAGTTGTCTGACATGGCAACGAAATTCAGCGACATGGCAACTACAGTTAAATGAACATGGACGAGGGTCTGGATCATGGCAACTGCGGGACGCGCGGTGACTGTCACGCGGGGCGTGCGGGACCACGAGGTACGAGGCCTGATGAAGGGGCGTGTGGGTGTTATCTATTTTGCCCACATGCACGCGTGTGAGAGGGATCGGGAGGGAAAAAAGAGATATGTGGGCATTACTTGTTTTGCCCACACGTAGGTGTGTGAGTTGTTCCTCTTATACATCACACAAAATGTGTGGGCAGACCCTCTAACGCCCACACGTGTGGCACTTATTGGCGTCCATAATTTTTGAGGGAATGGTTCAGAGATAATGCTCGGGCAATATCAATTGTATCAGAATCGAGCCAACCTGTATTGCAACTGTTCCCAATCACTATACTCCAAGGAACCACTGTTCCCACACTAAATCTAACTAAGTCAGAGCATTTAGAGCATCTCCACTTGTTCGGCGCCCCACGGACTGAAATAGCGCCTCCCGGGGAGCGAGCCGACGTTATTTTCGCCATGGGGGCGGTTGAGTTCCCACTCGCCGCCCCAAGTTGGCCCTCAGACGCCCTTTTTTGAAATGTAGTTCAGCTAAAATTTGAAGAATTTGGACGACATTCATTCATATTTGTACATAATTTAAAAAAGACATGTTTAAACCCTAAAACTATGCCGCCGCCGTCCCGAGCCTTCTACATGTCGAGGAGCTTGTAGAAGCTGGTGTAGTCATCGTCGTTGTCGTCTTGGACGCCGCCGTCCTTGCTGCAGCCCTGGCCTGGGTCGCCGAGGCGGATGGGGTTGGACGGCGCCGACGCCTCCTCACCGCCGTCGTCGAGGATGACGATGTCGTCCTCGTCACGGTCGCGGCGCTGAGCGGTGATCTCCTCGAGGGCGTGGCGCTGACACTCCATTTCCTCCCGGACGTAGTCGTCTCGCGCCCACTTCAGGCTAGTCTCGAGGTCAGCGGCCATGGAGATGTGCTCTTGCTTGACGACGGCAGGCGACGTCTTTGGCTCCTTCTTCGGCTGACCAGGCGAATATGGCCGCGGGGAGGAGAAGGTTGGCGACGACGGCCCTCGTTTATGACGAGGTTCCCATTGCGCCTGCGCTTTGGCGTCTCTTAGGGCTCGGCCTAGACGGCGGTGAGCGGCGGCGGGGTGCCGGGGGAGTGGGAGTCGGAGGAAGACGAGGACGCGCCCGCCATGCGCCTCGGCAGCCACGAGCTACCGCTCCGGGGCGAGAAGGATGACGCCGGGTACACCATCCGCGGCGGGTTTCCACCCTCGATGTGCTCGAGGACGGCGTGGAGAGTGCACCCGGGGACTCCCCACCATTGGCGACGGCCGTCGGAGTTGTGCCGCCCCCATGGTGCCGGAGCGCCGTTTGTCGACACGAGCTGGTCGGCGTGGCGGCGCTTGAAGTACGCCGTCCATAGGTTGGTGTTGTCGGGGGCGTATCTCGCCTGCTGCCGCACTTCCTTCGGCAACGTCGATCGGATCCGCGTGATCTCGGCACCGCGGTCAGCGCTAGTGGGCGGCGGGGGCAGGGGGACTCCTTCGGTGCTGAGCCTCCACGAGCCCAGCACGCACATGTCGGCCCGTTCCAGGTAGTCCGCCTCGTGGAGGAGGCGCACCTTCCACTCATGGAGATAGCGACACCGAAGCCATTGGCCGCCGCTCCGTCGCCGGGGAAACGCTCGGCCATCGGTCACGTCTTGAGATGGGGGAAGAGAGGG